AGGGGTTTGGAGCTGGAGGGTAGACTTTGGGCTGACTGGTTGATGGTTGAGAGGGAACTGGACTATTAGTTGAAAGGCTTCCTGACTGATAGGTCTGCAAGTTGATAGGACTAGGAAGGGTCTTGGGGATTTTTGGACTTAGAGTTTATTTGGCTGGACTTAGATTTGGGAATGTAATTTCTTCATATTAGTTGGACTAAATTTTGGACTGAATATTCAGACTTCTTTTTTGAAGTCCTGCCCTGTCCTGTAAGTTCAGATCTGTCTTCGCAGCCAATCATCAGTCAGACTGGTAGTTAGCCTTTTCCTTTTTTGGAGATTGCTACACTTGTTGAAGCCTGCTAGAGACCACATAAGACTGCTGGAATACTGGTTACCAGTGGTGTGTGAGGTGGATGTAGACTTCTTAGCCTCAGGGTCTCGATACAACCTGGTTGAAGGGCCTTCCTCACTTGACCGTGAAGCGTGCCGTCAAAATGGGTTTTCATGCTTCGACAATTTTGTATGGCTTATCGCCCTCTCTTTTCAAGGTGTTTAGAGGTCACATGAGGTGAAAATTTCAAGATTTTTAAACGGGAGTAATTTTTTCACTTAATTTTTAGAGGTATGCCTGAATGTTTGCAAATCTTAGATTTGTTTCTCAGTGCAACAGTATAATGCAAAGTTTCTACGGCTTTGATTATATTTTACATTAGTACTTTTCTAAATGTTTAATCGTTTTTTAATTGTTACACGATTCCTCTTGAAATTTTATGGAGTTCTTAATTGAAGACTTTACTTTATGAACAATCGATGGACACTTAAGCTTAGCATATATTTCCAGAATTGGCGTCCACACAAGTGTGTTCTGATTGCGTATTACAAATATTTTTCATTCCGATTTAAATTAAATTAAAACACACTTTGTTGTTTTTGTTATATTAATTGAATTAATTTGCTGTAGAAATTAAATAGGCTTTTTTAAAGACATTGTCTCAAAAACCAGTGTGTGGGTTTTTATGGGGACTTTTTTTTTCTCATGATTTTGCATTGCAATTTTCTCGCTAGCAACAGATTATAATTGTTTTAGTTACATTAACTGTATTGTTTGATATTCCTGTTAAAATTTTTCAGGCTTCACAAAAACGTCATGATGAGTTTATAACGAAGGAAATTTCACTTTAATACAATGGGCATTTCTCATGATATCCTCCAGACAATGAGTATATTCTATTTCATTAGGTTTAGTAAAAAAAAACGTGTTACTCGTCCGGGTTTTTTTAAAACAAGGAGGAAGTGGGCCTTTTTATTTTTCTATTTGTTTCAAGATGGCCGCCATTTAAAAATTTCCACTGTTCAAAGACACTTTTAAAATGAAAGATAATTTAGACAAGAGAAATGAACATATATACAGTGTCATTTAGACTTGTATTGGTCTACAATTTATTTTCCAATGAATTTGTGGACTTTTTCGGTGTTTTACTACATTTTTCAAAAATAAAAAATAATAAAAAAAATCCAGACGGCCTCCAAAAAAGGAAGCGGGCGGGGACGAAAAAAGGGTTTTTTTTTACTTTGCCTTAATGGTTGATTTAATTCGCATTGTACTTGTTTTCCTGCTGAATTAACATACTCTACAATATTAAATTTGACAATTCCTCTTCAAATTTGGGCTGTTTAAGACGTCAGATTTTCGTGACGCGCATCGGCTGCGCTGTATTTTGGAGACATTCCAAGCAACAGGAGCGCATGTTTAGAACATTTTGCACACTACGCGCACATGGTGTTGAACATGCAGTTGTAATTTTCCTACAAAGATGGCGTCCTATGAGAGAGATCTATTGGAGAATCCGGGCCTCGTCATCACAACCAACCAACAAACAAAATTTCAATTGACTTGCATTCTGATTGTACTTTTTCCACTGAACACACTCCATTGTGTTTTTTGTTTTATTCTTGCAAGAAAAACTATTGCAATAAATTGTTACGCACTCCCTGTTATTCTAGATTTGTATCTGCACATGTGCACTTAATCAGGCCATAGAGCTATAGTAAATTATTAGAGAGCTATATATGAATAGGATGAAGCTTGCTGGGCGCATGCATCCATGTTTGTGCTTAAGTCATCAGAAATTAGCTTAAATGTTGTATGTTTATACATTTCAAAGCTGTTAGTACAACTTACATTTCATTCTGTGCTTTCACACTAGTGCGCTGCACGGATTTTGGATTTTTTTTTCACTGTAGATCACGTGCCTGCTCAGCCATATATCTGTTATATTTTGGCAACACATTAAGCGCACAAAACTTAAAAAGAATTGATGTCATATTGACGACGTGACTTGCACATTGATCTCGCTGCATGTACATTCTTCAAGCACTGTGTTGAGCTCAGACAACTTTGAAGTGTGCAAGGGAATGAGGAGTAAACGCTCTCATAATTTACTACAGCTCTATATGGAATGCACATTTTAACTGATAAACTACCATTGAGACAACAGAGGTCAAAGGTCACCCAGGTTCACTGACCTTTAATGTTGTAATGTACATGTCCACAAAACATCTCTTCAACTGACAGTTTCCAAGATTGGTTTCAATTAACTTCTAATTTTTAACATTAGTAGCCTATTATCTTTTTACATACTAAATTAAGCCAACAAAAAAGCAAAGGATTTTTCAATTGTTTTACAGTAAGGCCAAAAAAAAAATACTCGGTCTCTGGTCAGACCAAAGTTGTGGAATTGATGCGGTGATGCTGCTTTTTTTTTTTTTTTTGCTTTTTTTTTTCAAGCTTTGATTGTACAGACAAGGTGCGGTACTATTTGCTTTTTTTTTGGTGTCCTCATGTACACTGGTGTCCTCCATAATTTGCTTTGGTGCCCTCAATCATTTGCCTTGGTGCAATTTCCCATTCCTTGGTGCTCTTTGGTAAAAAGGAGCTACCGCGGAACATTTTGGAAAAAAAAAAGATTGACGCGCATGAATAAAATCGACGCGCACGCTGACCAGAGACCTCTTCTTCTTGTTTTGGCCTAACATAAATAAGGTTAAATACAAAATACTCGCAGTTTACAATCATCTTCAATTTCACAGAATTGATACAATTTTTTTTATTCCATTTGGCCTAATTATTTCGTTTTCATTCTTTTCTCTGAATTATGCTGTCAGCAAATTTTTTGGTAGGTAAGGCAAGAAACCCACAGACATATAAATGCATAGACCGCCAGGTCCTATTCAAAACTACATGAGCATTTCGTGATTTGTCTAGCGCCCGACTAAAATCAAAACTATGGGCAAATTCACCTCTCAGTATAGGATTTTACACACAGTTGACGAATTCCAGTCAAACATGTAAAAACAATTATGAAGTTTGTTTTTTATTGTAAACAAATCCCTTGTGAATTAAGTATGATTTCTGTAGATTAAAAACAATAGGGTACCCAACATTGTCATACAACTTATGAGTAATAAAGCCTTTACCAAAATAATTTGTGAAGCAAAATAATTTATGTACCGTACTAAGCGCGTTGGTGCATTGAACCTGCATCGCGCAGTTAATATGCGAGCTGCCAACAAACCTTTTGCCCATACTTTACCAAATCAAGGTTTCAAGCGCACGACTGGCGGTCTATGCTTTATTTGTCTGTGAACAAACCAGATAGCACTATGGCGCCCTCTATGGCTACTGGACATCTAAGAAAAATTAATTAACTTAACTATCGCTTGTGAATGCTGCGGCTGTGACGAACAACGCCCTCTATAGAAATGGACATAGAGGTGTCCTCATGTCACATGACTGACTGGCTCCACGCTCCCCACACCTGGGAAAATAAAATAGAAGACAAAATTGCAAATTTAATAAATTTATCAAACTTCCATTAAAAAACATTAAAAGTAAAAAAATGAGGATTGTTTTGTTAGGTGACTGCGGGTAGTACATATCCCAACTACATGCAATGGTGTTGTACAAATTTTATTTTAATCATGAAAAAAAAAATTTTTATTTTAGAATTTGTAGTTCGTGTCAACAAACTTTTTTAGGGCCCCTCCCTGGAAAGTAAAAAAAGAAGTATTTATGGGAATATTTAATTCTTTTGTTTTTGCATCAACACGCCTTAAAGGGAAAATACAACATTTGCAAACCTCAAAAAATAAAACTACCAAATCATTTTGAAATACCTTGCTGGACTGTTAGTGAATGACAGTGTAAAGCATCCTGTAAAATCATGGCACCTGGTATACTGTCATTTTCAAGAAAAGTGGTATTTTTGTATCAATTTCCAACGCTGATCGGCCGATCAGCGTTGGAAAAAACTGGCTTTTTTCAAATACTGGCCCCAGTTGACCATCGCACTTGTTTGCAATCGATTACACACCTTAAACGAGTACAAGCCAGCTAAGACTGGTTCCCTGATCTTACAATTCCCTAATATATGTAAACTGCTCTGTTTCTTCTTAAATGGAGTCAGGGAACCAGACTACAGGAAAATGATTGTTTTTCTTGGTTTTTATAGCATTTTCGAACCCAAAACCTCAAAAAAGTCAGTGTAACTATATTTGCTATATATTTCCGACCCCCCAAAATGAGACAGAACTGGGCAGAGGTTGAAATAAGGGTTTGCAGGTATTAGGAAAGAGAATAACATTCTCCTTACAATACTGTTTGTTGCACGTCAATAGGACATTTTCTTGACAAGTTATAGCTGTATAAAGTTTACATTTATTGACATGTCAAAAAAGCAAAATACTAAGAAAAAGGCCTGTAAAGTTTCGATTTTTGTATTCATGAAAATGAAAGATGCCAATTATCTTTCCTTAAAAACTCTTGTATTCCATGATTTTTAGACTACATGTTTTACATGCTTACATGTATAAGAATATCAATAAGAAAAAGGCCTGTAAAGTTTCGATTTTTGTATTCGTGAAAATGAAAGATGCCAATTATCTTTCCTTAAAAACTCATGATTTTTAGACTACATGTGTTAAGAATATCAATAAATCTGAACGTCGAACAACAAAAATCACGCCCTATCATTTTTTTTCATTTTCCCTCCACTACGGCCTGTGCCCAGTTCCGTCTCATTTTGCCAGAATGCCTCACATATATAGCCTGATAATATTGACACGGACTTAAGCTTTGAGACAGGACCCACCTTTGGATTGATGCCATGAAGTTGCATGGTGGCTACAGGGTTCCAGACCGTTCCTGCCATTCCATGAGCTGTCACCCCACCCCCATCTCCCATGGCCATGTTATGATGCATGCCAGACATTGGCTCATGTTGCTCACCAAACCGGCTGACAGGTGTCTGTAGGAAATAACCAGGGCAATAAAGTTAGAGCTCGCAAGCATGATGACATTTCAGTAATGTCTTGAGATACACAAGGTACATCTTGATGAGGTTTTGATTTCTCTATTTGATTTTCTCAATGATCGCTGTTCAGTTTTTTTGCTGGTCCCAGAGGGCCAGCCTACAGTCCTCTTTGTACCTCACAGATCGACTCACTGTCACTTGTGAGCTGGGCAGTGCTGTTGTATAGGATTACCCTGTAACACCAATGAATGGGCTCAATCAATTGAATAGGACTGTGTGTACTCTGGAACCAACTTGAATTGCCTTGTGTTGTTGTAAACTGTTTTCAAGTCCTGAACTCATGCTGATTGAGTGTAGTGGGGGTGGTGGAGGGGTGAGATGCTTACTTGTTCATTTGGAAGCCATCCTCTCTTGACAGTGTCTTGATGGGGGAAGTTAGGCATCCTGTTAGCTGCTGTGCCTGGTATGTCCTCTAAGTTGCTACTTGGGATCCAGTCACCGCTGCTCCCTGGGGGAAAAATTCAGAAGAAACAACAAGTTTGTTTTAAATCTACCATTTATAAGGAAAATAATCTCTTGAATGGATGACAACTAATATTTTTCTAAACCACATGTCCTGTATGTCCATTGGGTTTTAATAGAAATCACAGCTGTCTATTTGTAAATTATATTTTCATGGACTAAACTTAAATGTTATTGTAGCCTTCTGGGTTGTTTTTACAGCATTTTTTAATCAACAAGGATCTTTTAGCTAAGTGTTTCAATTAGGATCTTTAAGTACCGAGCCAAGAAAATATGAGACTATTTCACACTCCTATTATCTTGATGCTCCAGATATAGTCAGTTTTCATGCATCTAATGAAAGTGTGTGGTAAATGAAAACTGAGCTTACCTGGTGTATAAGCCCAGATGCTACTCCCTGATGAACCAACAGGGTAACCCAGATCACTGACAGGTACAACAACAAAGCTGACAGGTGTCTTGCGTTGCCCTCGACTACGCTCATTGCTGATTGGAATTGGTAAGCGGGGATCTGACCAATGGCTGCAGGAGGCGGGGCCTGAGGCTGTTCGGTTGCCACGGTGACCGGTCTGGGCGAGGTGGTTGGTCAATGAAGCAAGGCTCCACAAGATGCGAGATCTGCTCAAAATGAAATTGAAATTATAAAAAACTCAAAATTAATGAGAAAGATACATGTAATGTATGTCAATAATGATAGACTGTTTTTCATAACGTGACCAATGTGAAATCAGATGGCTTTTTGGAAGGAGCGTTACTTCTTACTGTGAGCAATGGGGGATTAGGGGTGTAGATGTAACTTGTAACATGGTCACTTGCACATTGGTCTTCATTTACACTTGACACAATATTATGCAAAGAGCAAAAACAGGTCTGAATTTGGTGGCATTAGTTTGTCTAAAAGTAATACACAAAGTATGTGTGTTTGGAAAAATGTAATAGAGTCAGTTTCTTTTAAGACAAATACTCAATACATGTATATTTTGGGGTTTGGGGCGTTGAAACTTTTCCAGTTTTGAATCAAGAAGAGTTTAAAGAGTATACAACTGTAATAGATTATTTCACCAAATATGAAAAGACCAATTAACTTATCTCAGGTCCAAGATACAAACTCAAGTGTAGAGTAAACATGTCAGCAAACAAACAAGATAATGAGCTGTACATGTCTGTTGCATCCAGCACTTGTCCCCCAAACTCCCCAAGCTCTCTATATAAACCATGTCACGTTACTTGATGATGATTCTGTGTTTGCCAGTGCCATCTCTCTGGGATCCTACCCCTCAAAAGCTTACCACTGTTCACGCTCTTTGCATTTTCCAATGAAAGCACTTTCCAAACCATTTTGTTATTTTTATCAATAGTTTGTCAAGTCAGAACTTAATGATAACAAGAATTCAAAGTTACTTCAATTCCATTTTCATTTTCTCACTCAACATTAAATGCGAGGTTTTATTAAAAAAGTTATAAATGGATTGACTGACCTGGGTGTCATCTTCATTGTTTATTGTGTACATGTACCATCACTTGAAAGAGACAATTATTTTAAAACAAAAAGTAAGAGTCATTTCTTGTAAGTAATTTATATAAGTGTCCACGGAAAAAAAAAAAGAACTCTTAATAAAAGAGGAAAGGAAATCTGAATTTGATGGCACTCGTCTGAAAGTAATTGACCAATTATTTGGTTTGTAAAAATTTTCTTTTATACTCAATTTTAATTAGAAAGAAAGGCAAAAACTCAACATATGTTTTGTTTTAATCATTTCTGGATTGATGCTGCAGAAAGAGTATGCAGTTGGCCAAGATTTTTTCACCAAATATGAAAAGACAAATATATAAAGATCTCATCACAGCCAACAGCAAAGTATTCTGAGTGCCCAACTGGCAACTTGCACTTTTTTTTAGGGGGGGGGGGAGGCTGTAAAAATGGAGTTCAAAATGCAACTTTTTAAGTTGTGAAACATGTGCTATATTAGGGCTTAAGAGATGAATTTTAAGAAGTGCAATACATGTAAGGGTGAGGCTGTGTAGTGATATAGTTAATGTTATGACATTGGTTTGCATTCGGGCTGGGTGGCCTTTCAAATGAAAGCAACAACATGTATTAGTAGCGAGTCTGTAAATTGGCCCAAAATGTAGTTGCAGTGAGCCCGTAAATTGGCCAAAAATTGCAAAACACATGCCCTGTTACTATGGCAATGGTCCTGGTACGGATTTTAGAGGACTTTGGTTATTTACTCCCAAGTCCAATCAAGTTGAAACAATCAGGTTTTGATCGTGAACACTCATATGAAAGATAAATTTACATGAAACAACTCTTCAGACAGGTTGGCAATTTTACAACTGAAAATTCTGACTGAAGCTGGTTTGTGAGCTAGGTCAAAGGAATTCACACCTTCTATAGAAATCCAAACTTGTTCATTGGGACTTTTTACCAACAGAACAAAAAATGAGAGATTAAATGAGTCCATTTTGTCACAGAATGGAAGGAACAAGTATGCACAGGTACATGTATTAACACCTCATTTGATGAAACAAGTTTGGAATGACATGTACAATGCACATATGTATGGACACTGATGGCTGCAGGCCAGTAAATAGGCCCAAATTGCCTACGCCGGAAAAATCATGATTTGTACGCTCTCATATTTTTGCTATCATCATTTTGTGGGCCATGAACTTGAAGGTTTGTAAAAAGAAAAAGAAGGGTGTAAGCCATGAACGGGACTGCCAGCTCGTATTTCTGTGTAATTTGGATGAATTAAGCCCTAAAATTGCTCCATTTTGCAATGCAGCCTAGGCATCAGTTTTCAGAATGTCGATGGTCTACAGGACTATACTTTTAGGGGTGATCATCTTTGGATGGAAATTTTTCACAAAGTCATCGGATTGCCACAACAAAATTGAACACAAAATGAAAGATGATGAAATCAGTTTTAATTTGATGTGTCTGAAACACCTTGGAGAGTTGTGAGTATTTTCCCTTGAATTTTGGAAGTGGGGGTATCTATTACTGGGGTCTATGGCAGTTTATTTATTAAGTAGTCTGCAACCTGATGGTGTACGTGTACATGTACACGTATGCAAGTAAAAAATTAACCTTACTCAGGTCCAAGATACAAACTCAAGTGTAGAGTCAACATGTCAGCAAACAAACAAGAAAATGAACTGTACATGACTCAGATCTGGGATCCACCTTCTCTAAAGGTTATGACTATTCACACACATTGCATCAATGCGGAAAACCTCTAACAATTTAAGTGAGTGGACTCCTCAATTCCTTCCAGGATAACTGAGGCCACACCTGGGAATAGACAGGAATCAAACCAGGGGCCAATAGAAAAGAATACAAGCAGTAGGATCTGAACCAAAGACTCCTCAATTCCTTCCAGGATAACTGAGGTCACACCTGGGAATAAACAGGATTCGAACCAGGGGTCAATAGAAAAGAAAACAAGCAGTAGGATCTGAACCAAAGACTCCTCAATTCCTTCAATGATAACTGAGGTCACAGAAATCGAACCAGGGGTCAATAGAAAAGAAAACAAGCAGTAGGATCTGATGCAAAGATTCACCAGATTCAAACCAGACAGCCCTAACATGAAGCTTCCAAGACATTAAGTACATGTAGGATCACTAGTCATCAAATCTAGCTGATGCAGTGATTATTTCCAGACAACTTTCATTCTTACGTGACTTGAGACGTTTACCGGCCGTCATCTTCTTGACTCCTCATCGTCTCTCAGCCAACATTCTCTCAAGATCTTCCTTCAATCTCTTCCTGATATCATAGAACCCAGGATGAATCCTGCCAAGAACCTGACCATGTTCCTTGAGTTGTCTCATCTTGTTGTCAAGGGAGTTTGAGGTGATGCCCTTCACACCCTGGAAACAAGCCAGACAGGATGACAGTTTTATGTTACCATGGTTCCAGCATTTGTTTTTCATTAACATAGAAAGTAGTTTTGATACACTGTTTCAACATTATGTTGGTTCCCCTCCTCTAAAACTCTGCACTTTTCACACTCCCACAAAGGTTTGAGGACTTCTGATGCCTTTTGTTTGGGTAACTTTTGGCAACTCCTCTCATTTGATTTGTGATGGTTTCCAACTGAGGACATAGTGTCCTCTTATGTACAGTCAACTCTGTTGTTCATTGTCCTCAGTGTACATCATTACACCCAAATGTACTTCCCCAAGTAGTATGTATTTTATTTGCATGGAAACACAAAATTGAAACTTTTGGGGTTGGTCAAAATGATAATTTTTAAATAGACTGAAAATGTTATATCAATATTTATCTCACATAAATAAAAGACCTTTTCATGATCATCATGTGTGAAAAATGAAAAAAATTGAGGAAATATATTGATAACTTATTTTATTTGATGGTTGAAAAATTGAGTTTAATTAAATGTGTGGAGGTGTACGCGATTGAAATTTAACAAAGTGCAGCAGGTACATGTAGATATAATGCATGAACTTATCTAAGATCCAAAACTCAAGTGTCAAGTACAGGTAAGTACACAGATAAACTGATACAGATTGTACGAGTGTGTGATGTACATGTAGAAGTATGCAGCAAAACAAAAATCCCAAGCTCTATATATAAACCATGTCACGCGACTTGATGACGATGCTGTGTTTGTCCAGCGCCATCTTTACCAGATCAACCCCATCAAAAGCCTCAACTGTTTGTGCTCTCTACATCAAATTGGAAAGCTTTGTATTCAAGTGATTTGACTGGGAATTTAAAAGAGGTAAGGAAATATTGTCAGTTCTGTTGAATGAGGTTAAAGGCTAGCTGATATAGGAATTGCGGCTTTAGACTTCAAAACACGAAGTGTACGCACAAGTAATATTCCAACAAAAACCTATTCAGTCATATAAGTGGAAAAACTATGGCAACTTGCATACAGTTTTGTCCATTTCAATATCTGAAATCATTTCAAAAGAGAATTAAGGATGTACTCTCAGTGCTCTTCAAAACTTGAACAGGAATTCCAAAAGGAAATAAAAGAGATTTTTTTTTATTTGATATCTCGTTCAAAAGTGAATATCTTTTGTCTGGCTACAAAAAAGCAATTCACAAGAAACGTTATACATGAGCATGTAATTTTTATCCAGATGAAACTCGGATGGGCATGTACATCTTTAATGTGAAGGCACATGTTTTGCTCAAGTATTTTTCATTGCTCTTATAGTAACTGTTCCATTTTCTTTTTGAATACAGATAAAAATGGCTGCAGCTCTACAAAACATCAGCTCCCATCTTAACTGTGGCATCTGCCGAGATAGGTACACACAGCCCAAGATACTGGATTGCGTCCACAGCTTCTGCCAGAAATGTCTGGAGCAATACTACACTAGCAGGTATGCAGGTCAACCTAAGATTTCTTGCCCTGTATGTCGGCGGGAGACAGTACTTCCAGAGACACGCATTCAAGGCCTAAAAACAAATTTCCATTTGATGGGAATAGTTGAGGAGGTCTCACTCCAAGCAAAGGTGGTTAGTTCAGTGAAAAAAACACCAGAAGAAGATGAGTCTAAATGCCAGAAACACAAGGGTGAAGTGAAATGGTTTTACTGTGAGACATGTGAAGAGTTAATCTGCCGAGCTTGTACTGTAGTAGACCACCGTGGACCAAAACATCACTACATTGACTCTGGAGAGGCTTCTCACAAATACAAACAGTCACTGAAAGATATGTTTCCAGATTTCACCACAGACATCAAAAGACTTGAACAATCTTTGGCCACTTCATCACAAGCTAAGCAGAAGTTCACACAGAACGTCACAAAGACTGTGAAAGCTGTGAAAGACAAAGCGGATAAAATGAGAACTGAGATAACAACTCAAGAGACAAAGATGATTAAAGAAATCAAGCAACTCCAGCAGGATCATAACAGAACATATGATAAGCATCAGTCAAAACTGACAATGATGCTAGAAAGTAAAAAACATTCTCTGGGGACATCCCAGGATATCATTAACACTGCATCAGACTGTGACTTTTTGTCCCTATACCCTGTCATCAGCAAAGACTTGAAATCACTCAAGAGTAAAAATCCTCCCCAGATTGATCCCAAGCTTTCATATCTGAGCTTCACCCCGGGTCAGAGGATTGGTGACATCAATCTGGGCAAGCTGGCAGTCAAGAAGAAGTGGGAGAAGTTTCGTGAGTTTGGTACAGAGGGGCGTGGTCCAGGACAGTTTGATGCGGCTCTAAGTATTACTGCTACTCAACCTGGTGAGATTGCTGTGGCAGACTATGGGAACAACCGAGTGGTCATCTGCAGCAATGAGGGACAACACAAGGGAACCATTCCCCTAAAATCAAGTAAGTTTCTTTCATGTACACATTCATCAACACAAACTTTCATAATTGTGTGGAAATTATAAGTCAGTCTTCCATGTGCACATGCAGATCTGACAACTGAGAATGAAAACCAATAAAATAATGGCAAGGAATTGATGTGCTGGCAGTGCTCCCAAACATATTTGATTTTGTTCTCCCAACAAACAGTAAGGTTGTGTTTACATAAAGGCCTATGTAAAATAAAATGGCACAAAAAAGCCGCACACACAGACACACACTCACAAAATAAACAAAACTACCAGCACAGCAAAACTTCTATTTATTTATTACTGATTTGTGTTTGTATGGAAGAAAAACTTTTGGGGGGGGGTCTGTAACCTTTAGAAAGAAATGTTTATTTAAAGGTTGCTTTGCAAACATATGTGAGTAGAATGTTCTAGGCCATGGGTGATGGGGCTGATGAGCCCCCATCCAGATCACCCTTTTGTTTGGTCTTTGTTCTTCTGACAATAATGCTGCATGGCTTTTATTTCAAACACAACAACGTGTGAATTTCAAAATTGGTATTCAACATATCCATTCTGACACAGAGATGCTTGACCTTCTGGGGTTGACATCCATTCTGACACAGAGATGCTTGACCTTCTGGGGTTGACATCCATTCTGACACAGAGATGCTTGACCTTCTGGGGTTGACATCCATTCTGACACAGAGATGCTTGACCTTCTGGGGTTGACATCCATTCTGACACAGAGATGCTTGACCTTCTGGGGTTGACAGTCAAAGTTATACTAAAAGCAACATGAAAACAAAATGGAAATACTCCCTAACGGGTCAAGGTATGAAGAAAAAACTGTGTACAATTACCGGTATGCACTGTTGTACAAAGACATGACATCATACAATGACACCACCATATCAAATTTAAGTGATTTAAAGGGACACTACATCCTGGAAAGCACCCAATATGGCTACAAAGAGCATTTAAAAGTAGTATATTATACAAATATATTGATGAGTGGCTCAGAGTGAAATAGAAGGAATATTATTGCAAGATAAAATCTGGTCTTTTCTTTGCCTCGTGAAATGGAAAAGTCCAGATTTTACCAAGCGATAATATTCCTCCGATTTCACAATTTTAAGCCACTCAATATTTGTTTTATATACCTGACGAATAAATCCTGACATATTTGATACATTTGAACCTTTATTTTAACATAAAATTGGTGGAAAATGTATTTCTTTCTTCCAAACCACCCCTTCACGAAAATGTTTGAACCTAACGCTGACGCTACGCTGAATGCGCACACCAGCATGCATTTGCATACAAATACCGCGTCATGGAACAAGAATGATCCTAACGGTTGAATAGTACAATGTATTTCCCATTCCCCATGGGCGAATGGGACTTTCTGAGCCCCGGCGTGAATGGGAGCAATAACGCATATCACGTGATGTGAGTTTCACCAATCAAATGACAAGGATCTGTATGTCAATATAAAAACGTCTACACAACCATCCTTGACAAATTGGCCGTTTGTGTGTTGTTCTTGCAAGAACAAATTTTTTGGGTCAAAATTTTGACTCTCAAAAATGTGTCATTCCGTGTCAATTCAACACGATTTTGAACCCGACCCTCACAGATTGAAACGATTTGGTGTGATGATTGGCCTGTATGAGAACACCCCAGAACTGATTTTTTTTGTAGTTTGGCTTGTTAGATTCTGAGATACGGGTCAACGAACTTTTGACTAATTAGCATGACCTCCGAACTTTCAATACTTGTATCTCCAAAACTATAGCATATACAAAGCCAAATTGTACATCATATTAAAGCTCTTTGAATGACCTCCATTTCATAAAATAAAACCAAAATCATACCATGAAGCACAGAGAAATGCGCTACGAAATGACCTTTGACCTTAAATTACCCCAAAAAACAATATGCTTCAACTTTTTTTTTTTTCTTCACTTGTTAGTTTATGATGTAAGCACCAATCTTCGAACATTTGGTGAAAGGTGTCCTAAAGTTTGCAAGAACTAAATTGTTACACAGTTTGTTATTATACAATTATTTGATGACTAAAAATGGGGTTTATGTCAATTAATGCTTCATTTGAAACTTGAACAACCTTATTATTGCTATAAAAAAACAATACTGGTAAATATAGTGCTAATCTATTTTGATGTGTGAACATTGAGAATAGCACAGAGAGTGCATCAACTTTATGAAAGACTTTGCAAAACTGTATCTCCAAGACATTGCAGTTATTCACAATTATACATGTATGGTGGTTGAAGACTGCACAATGCCTACAGGCCTATTAAATCTACATGACCAGGCTTTAAGGCAGGCCATGTTTTCATTAATATAGGTAGGTTATCATTGGTATAATATTTCATGAGGACTCAGAATAGTGACAGTGCATTTATATACTGTGCATACAATGTATGTTGCATTTGAGTTCTTCTTTACCCACAGGTCCAGTGGCAGTTGCAGCCATCCACAATCCTGAGCAACGCTTGCTCGTGTTGGAAGATGGAAGCAAGTATGTCAAGGTGTTCAACATGAAAGACAACATTCTTGTAAAGCAGTTTCCAACGGTGCTCAAGCATCAGGTAGACAAGACAAAAATGAACCTATCGAGTCTAGCAGTAACAAAGAATAGCATCTTAGTAGGCGACACCTACAATATGGTGTGGACTGAACACAGCCCCACTGATGGTGAGATCCTACGCACCATACCAGTGCAGACTCCACCTTGGTTCCTGGCTGTTGACGACGACATTGATAGAGTTGTGGTCAGTGGATGGAACACAAAGAAAGTGGATGTTGGTGATAGCAAAGGTAGAACAATCTTGACCATTAATCCAACCATTAATGGTGAGCCAGTGAGGAACTGCAAGGGTGTATGCTGTGACAGCTCAGGCATCTACCTTGCAGTGGACCAAGGTGTGTCTGGCACTGGTCATATTCACCACTATGACCTACATGGCAGGTTTTTTGATTGCCTGGCTCAGGGTCTGTATTTCCCACAGGGAATGACATTCAAATCAGATAGCCAGCTGGCAGTGGCAGATGAAAACTCAATCAAGATGTATCACAAGGTGTGATGTCATCCAACATGACATTGACTAGCAATCATCATCATCCCAACAGCAAATGTTGAGGATGGAATTGTCCAGTCATTACAGCACCAATCAACATTCATGTCCCACTCATATCACATCTCTCCTCAAAAATCCAAACTGCCAGATCCCTCTGATGTGAACCATTTTACCATACAAATTCTTAAATAAACAGTGCATCAATTACATTTTGTTACTATACAAAGTCTTATATAAACAGTGTATTGACTACAGTTACATTTGATTTGATTGGGATAATTTGTACAATGACTGGAATCTGAATTAAATGGTAAATTTGAAAGGAGAGGGGAGTTTAGTTGGTGTTGAGGTGTTTGAATGTAATGACCCCCGCCTTCTCACACCAACACTCCTCCCTCACCCGGGTTCGCCATAAATCTATCCAATACTTACCAACTTTTTGTGGTATTTATGAAACCCCGGCTTCATTGTGTCTTCTGCTTTATATCTGGCACTAGATTCCTAAGAATCCTTCCACATTCAAACTCGGTGAAAATACACCAACCATCCATTGGCCTTGTGTGACAGGACTTGGTGTCTCTGAAAATGAAAATGGACCAATATTGCACTGGAGTTACATCAGGGGACAAAAATCATGAAGCCAGAAGCCAAAGCTAGGGACAAAGCCAAGATTTCATAAACACAATTAAGATTGTTAAATTGTTGATGATGGAAGTTGCTGTACATATTCTGCTTTTACAACAAAGAATTGAGAAATGTTTAGGATCTTTTCGTTCTTGATATTCAACATTCTGCATTACTCAGTTCAAATACGTGCGTATTAATGTTCAAGAGAAGCCTTTATTCACTCAGTTAATTTTGTGTTACTTTTTACAGTTTCATGTACAGATTTAATTAATAAAACGCTGCTTTCATGTAAATTGCCATCAGTCCAAATGTATCCTAAAGATGAGTGACAAAGCTCGTTCTATTAATGTGGTTTCAGATCTTCATTCACAGAATGGAGAATTGTGTTGACAGTGTTCATGAGGTTTATTTCTTGAGAGGCTTTAAATAGTACTAGCCAAAGCTGAAAACATAGCAAAGATTTCTTAAACTCGGTGGAATTCTGAAATTTGTTCCTAATGGAATATCTACATGTAATCCATTATATATTGTACTTTTGTTAATAGAACTTTTGAGACAGCTTTACAAGCACTTCATCCTTGAGAAGTATTTTGTGATATACATGTTGTTTAAATTCATTTTAAGCATGTACGTTCAGCACAATAGTTAGTACTCAGATTACTGTTCAATAAGCCTTTATTTACTCAGTTTTACGTTACTTTTTGCAGTTTCTGTTTACGCATTTGAATTTACGACACGTTTACATGTATATTGAAGATAATTTACTCATTGTTAATGTTTGCTAAAGATGAGTGAAAATTAATTTGGTTTCCTGTCTTAATTTACAGAATTAAGACTCATGTTTACAAGAATGTTTTTATCTTGATTTGAAATTTTGTTGACATTTTTTCTCAGACTGTCAAATATCCCTTCAGTTTGAATGATTAGAAATCAATTCGACTGACGCTGAATTTCAGAAAGCTATACAGCCTCAGTTGCCTTGATTTTGGCCTGACTGCCACCTTGAAAAGGTCCCACACAAATAGCACATTTCTAATTCAATTATTTTCCTTACAAAACAAATAGATTTCTTTGTCTTTTCAAGAATTTAATTGCACATCTCTGTTTTCATTGTTTTGGATTTTTTGGTTGCCATTTCAGAAAACTGGAAAATGGAAAAAAAATCATCACTTCAGTTTGGGTTTCAGCAAAAATAAAGAATTATGAATTTGTTTGCAAAGTATCAATCTTATTGTAAAAATTAAATGTTCAAGTAGACTTTTTAGTGTTTAACAATTTACCACTGTATGTAGATCTTAGTAGTCACAACAAGACTTTGTAAACTCCCTTTATGTATTTTCTTCAATTTGTTCCTAATAGAACATAAATCTACTCATTGTATTCTGTGCTATTTCTACATTACATTTTCTGATAATGGAAATTACAGCCTGTACAATATCAATTATTCTGTATTTCTGTTAACTTCACTTTTTAAAGCCATGTAAGATCATTTGCAATAACCCAGATAAGCACCTACCGATTTAATGACAGAAACCTCAAAGTGAAGATAGGACTGGTAACAAATACCCTGTGAAATAATTCCACCTGAAATGGTATTGTCAGAATACAACATTGAAGGTGGTTTCAAAATGGGGTGCCTACAGAATCCAGTTACCATATCCAAAGACTTGTGCATTATGTTTTCTCTGTTTTCTCCAAAATGTATAGTAGCCACTCAGCTAAGACTTGAACAGAATGCTTGTTATGCAACCTACTTAAAATATTGAGCACTTTTGTTGCTTCGGAAAAAAACCCGCAAAAAGCAAATGATCCTATGCACAATGTACCTTTAAGCATACCCATCACTATGAAAGTTTATTAAGATCACTTAAAAAAATTGTCTTTTATATTCACTCAGTTTCTTTAAAAAAAAGAAAGAATTTTGTAGTTTTTTTCTCCATTTTTGTAGTTTTTCATAGAAATCCTGTTTATTGTTATTATTTATAAGCTTTGTACATTTGCATTTATATCAATGAAACACTAATGTGGATGATCATTTAATCATCAAAATGTCCGTTAAAGATGAGCACAAATACTTATCCTATTAATTCGGTTTCCTGTCTGAATTCACAGAATAAAAGCTTGTGTAAACTTTACTCACAAGGGATTATCTTGATGGACATTTTTCATTATTTCTCTTTGAAGGTTAACAATTCTTCAAGTGTGAAAGGTTGCCAATCATTTTAATAAATGTTCAAATCAATGGTATTGAATTTCAGGAATCTAAGGCCTCCGTTGCCTTGATTTTGGCCTGACTGCCTCCTTGAAATTTCCTTGCCTTTTCAGAGTTAATTTCATACCTTTGTTTTCATTGTTTTACTTATTTGGTTGCAATTCCAGCAAACTTCAAAAGAAAGGAAAGAATTACCCCCTTATACAGTTTGAGTCTCAGCAAAGAATTATTACATTTTGATGACACTTTTCAAACTCTGTTGTAACATTTAAATATTCAAATTGACTTGTAAAATCAGATGGTTAGAAATGAAATGAGCAGAAATAAATTCATTCATTTATTCAGAATAAGAATTCACCCACCACTCTTTGTAGTTCTTTGTAGTCGCTCTTTTCTTCATCTAACAATTAAAAAGAAAAATCATGTCTTAAAATATCTATATTGTTATTGCATTTAAAAACCCCAACCCCAAAGAAACCCACCAAGTGAAGTCTCCTGAATCCAACAGAATCCCACAACTCAGATGAACCATACAACAGAAATGCACCACTGTGGAATTTGCTGTAACTATCACATGTGGTTGAATGTGTGAATAACTTTAATTTTTCCCAAGTTTCGGCAATTACCAAATTTCCACTTCTGGATTACCTTTGTTTGATACATAAATACGCAAACAATTTTATGAGGTCCAGCCGGCCAAATAAATTCCAGATTTCTTGGACCAGTCTGCAAGTGTTCATAGCAAAAAGACAAGGTCAATGGTTTCACCTTTTCATCAGATCCCCAGCAATTAAAAATGTCACAGCGCCCTCTATTGGCGATGAATCTCCCTCCCTTAATTATTGAGTGCCTGTGATATTTCTGCATTTATATTAAAAACTGATGATATAAATAAGACAATTATTGCCTCTTTGGCCATTTTTCATAGAAATTCAAACAAATTTATTTCAGAATCTGTTCTGTGAAAAGGATTTTAAAAATCACTTTTTCGTTTCCCTACAAATTAACTTTGGCTGTGCCTTGCAATTTGCCAGCTGGAACCCTGACCATGCAATATGGTCCGTGTTAGTCATCTTCACTTGATGACTAATATGGGTCATTCTAGACATTGAGGGTCCAAAGTGGGACATCATTCCTGTGCCTGTGACCTCTGACCTTTGTAATGTGCCATTCAAGTATCATTACAAATGACGTCCATTGTTTATTTGCTGGGTGGGTAGTTTGCTTACATAATCACTCTTGAAACCTGACTGCATTAAGGAGTGCATGCAGAATAAAAAAATAAAAACAAGTGTGACCGGGGACAACAGGCTCTTCAAGTTTAGATGGAAAATATACTGTTTTTATTCCTCATCAGTGGCCGCATGGCAGCAAAGTGCAGCCAGCGCTGTGAAACTTTCTTTAAATTACAAGACTTTACAATATGTGTGTGCTCTTGTTGGTGGCTAGTTAAAGACTGAACTGAAGAAAACTAAACCACAGGATGTTGGCCAGTGCCTCACATTCCTGAGCAGACCACATAGAGATTATGAATAAACAGAGAAGGGGGTGATAATGAACAAAGTAACTAGTGTAGAAAAGCTAGAGTCTATCTAATGAATAATAATGAGGTACATGTAGTCAGGCCTCCTGCCTGGAGGTAATTACTTTTCCAGAAACTTGGAATGTGTGGCTGACCCACCCAGGGCTAAAGGACAGATTTTCTCACTCATGCTCACAGTGGTGAACAAAAATATAACATGCACATAAAACAATGAAGATAATAATAATTTCAATACTTTGAAAACATGAAAACAATCCAAAACTTGTGAAAAAGCAATCCCGCGTACCGATTATTGGGATATAAAATATTAAGAAACTTTCAGTAGAAATAGGAAAAACCCAAAGGTGCTAAAAAAGATAACATTGAAATATGTTTCAAATATTTCACCGGTTACACAAGTATTGACGAATGGGATTTACTTTCCTGTGGACCATCCACTGGGGCAGCAGGGAGAGGCAACTCCTCCCCCAGACATTTTGCTGCTATAATGAGCGCCAGTACTGGTTTGTTTTAAATGTTGAATGTGTGATGAAACGTGAATACAGAAAATACAGGCAAACTCTTGAAACACTGAAAACACAGACTATCAAAAACAGAATGTGACATTGGTGGCATTTCTACAGCTCTTTATCAAGGGTAGCATCTCTGGGTATGGACTCCTTGCACAAGTACCCCCTCAACCGTTACAAAGGGAGAGTTGTGGGACCACATGAATGCATTGCCAACAGCGCCTGGCACTCATTTGAAGATGTTAGGGGCCATTGAGAATTTTCAATGTTTTACAATTTCGACTTTTTTTCCAAATAATTTTGACCCACCCACCCACCCCAATTTCAATTAATAAAAAACTGAACTTGTACATTTACATGCACTTGCATGTACATATACTTGAACATGAACATGTATTCCCCTGTGTGTCTAGTTCAGTAACGGCGTGAAGTTGTCGGTCTTCCTCTTTTGCACTGGTGACTTTCAGTTTTCTTGTGTTTTGCCAGCTGATATGCTGTTGGGAATGACAGGTTGTAGTTTTGGGAGCCACAAAGATGACCGTGGTTTTGTCGTTTTCTGGATGAGGTGGATGACATGTGACATACGAGGTTGTGCCTGTCAAGTGAGGTAGCTGAGAAAACATTCACTCGTAGCCCCCCCCCCCCCGCCCTGTTTGTAGGGCGGGGGGTACGAGCGAAAGAAAAACATCAGGTTTGGGCAGACATCACATCACAGGCTGCGGTCCTTGTAGTCTTTGAGTCCAGTGTTTGAATTGACCAATTTTTATAGCGATTGGTAATCGACGACCACGGCGTGTTATAGAGCCGATCTAGTACACCTGGTACCCTGCTGCCTCTGCACGGCCTAACCGCTACAAACGCCCGGCGTCCAAGCCTACTGAAAAACCACCTCCCTCTCATGCCACGGTGGGTTTATATACACGTACATGACGTACATGTACAGTACATACAGGGGACGAAGTTGGAAAAGAAACACATCGCGATATCGGAACGCTTGCGCGTAGTTCAGGCAAGTCAAAAGATCTATCTTTCTTTTTTTTTCTTTTTCCATGGAAAGTGAATTTCGATTTTCAATTATTTAGCTTGACCCACCCACCCACAATTTGGAAAAAAGTTCGAAATTTTAAAACATTGAAAATTCTGAATGGTCCCCATTCAGAATGGAGATTTTTTCACCAAATATGAAAAGACTAATTAACTTATCTCAGGTCCAAGATACAAAATCAAGTGTAGAGTAAACATGTCAGCAAACAAACAAGTTAATAAACTGTACATGTCTGTTGCATCCAGCACTTGTCCCCCAAACTCCCCAAGCTCTATATATAAACCATGTCACGTTACTTGATGATGATTCTGTGTTTGCCAGTGCCATCTCTCTGGGATTCGCCCCCTTAAAAGCTTACCACTGTTCACACTCTTTGCATTTTCCAAATGAAAAACTTCCAAAACCATTTCTTTATTGTTATCAATAGTTTGTTAAGTCAGAACTTAATGACAACAAGAATTCAAAGTTATTTCAATGCCAATTTCTTACTCAACATTAAATGCAAGGTTTTATTAACAAGATTATAAATGGATTGACTGACCTGGGTGTCATCTTCATTGTTTATTGTGTACATGTACCATCACCTGAAAGAGAAAATTATCGAAAACAAAAACTAAGAGTCATTTCATGTAAGTAATTTATATAAGTGTCCACGGGGAAAAAAATTAACTCTTAATAAAAAAGCAAAGAAAATCTGAATTGGTGGCACTCGTCTGAAAGTAATTGACAAATTATTTGGGTTTGTAGAAATTTGCAAGATTTAGGATATTTTCTTTTGGTACTCAATTTGAATTAGAAAGAAAGGAAAAACCTCAACATAGGTTTTTGTAAAATCATTTCTGGATTGATGCTGCAGAAAGAGTATGCAGTTGCCCAAGATGTTCTCACCAAATATGAAAAGATAAATATACAAAGATCTGATCACAACCAACAGCAAAGTATTCTGAGAGCCCAGCTGGCAACTTGCATTTTTTTTTGGGGGGGGGGGGTTAAAATGGAGTTCAAAATGCAACTTTTCTAGTTGTGAAAACATGTGCTATATTAAGGCTTAAAAGATGATGAATTTTAAGAAGTACAATGTTCATACATGTAAGGGTGAGGCTGTGTAGTGATATAGTTAATTTTGTGACATTGGTTTGCATTCAGGCTGGGCGGCCTTTCAAAAGAAGGCAACAAAATGTATTATTAGCAAGTCTGTAAATTGGCCGAAAATGAAGTTGCAATGAGCCCGTTAATTGGCCCAAAATTGCAAAACACATGCCCTGTTACTATGGCAATGGTCCTGGTACGGATTTTAAAACACTTTGGTTGAAACAATCAAGTTTTGATCGTGGACACTCATATGAAAGATTGACATGAAACAACTCTTCAGACAGGTTGGAAATTTTACAACTGAAAGTTCTGAATGAAGCTGGTTTGTGAGCTAGGTCAAAGGAATTAACACCTTCTATAGAAATCCAAACTTGTTCATCGGGACTTTTTTACAAACAGAACAAACAATGAGAGATTAAATGAATACATTATGTCACAGAATGGAAGGAAAAAGTATGCACAGGTACATGTATGAACACCTCATTTGATGAAACAACTTTGGAATGACATGTACAATGCACATATGTATGGACACTGAAGGCTGCAGGCCAGTAAATAGGCCCAAAATTGCCTACGCCGGCCAAATCACGATTTGTACACCCTCATTTTTTTGCTATCATCATTTTGTGGGCCATGAACTTGAAGGTTTGTTAAATTTTTTTTAGAAAGGTGGAAGCCGTGAACAGGACTGCAAGCTTGTATTTCTGTGTCATTTGGATGAATTAAGCCCTAAAATTGCTCTACTTTGCAATCCAGTATAGGCATCAGTTTTCAAAATGGCGATGGGTTTTTGGACTATAATTCTAGGGGTGATCATCTTTGGATGGAAATTTCTCACAAAAGTCATCGTATTACCACAAAAAAATTGAACACAAAATGCAGATGATGAAATCAATTTTAATTTGACGTGTCTTATACACCTTGGAGAGTTGTGAGTATTTTCCCCTGAATTTTGGAAGTGGGGTATCTATCACTGGGGTCTATGGCAGTTTATTTACTAGTCTGCAACCTGATGGTGTATGTGTACATGTACACGTATGCAAGTACAAAAAATATCCTAACTCAGGTCCAAGTTACAAACTCAAGTGTAGAGTAAACATGTCAGCAAACAAACAAACAAGATATTGAACTGTACATGAATCAGATCTGGGATTTGCCCCCTCTAAAGGTTACAATTATTCACACTCATTGCATCAAACAAAGTGGAAAACCTCTAAAAAAAAATTCAAATTCTCTTTAAGTGAGTGGACTCCTCAATTCCTTCAAAGATAACTGAAGTCACACCTGGGAATAAACAGGAATTGAACCAGGGGTCAATAAAAAAGAAAACAAGCAGTAGGATCTGAACCAAAGACTACTCGATTCCTTCAAGGATAACTGAGGTCACACCTGGGAATAAACAGGAATCGAACCAGGGGACAATAGAAAATAAAACAAGCAGTAGGATCTGAAGCAAAGATTCACAAGATTCAAACCGGACAGCCCTAACATGAAGCTTCCAAGATATTAAGTACATGTAGGATCACTAGTCATCAAATCTAGCTGATGGAGTGATTATTTCCAGACAACTTTCATTCTTACTTGACTTGAGACGTTTACCGGCCGTCATCTTTTTGACTCCTCATCGTCTCTCAGCCAACATTCTCTCAAGATCTTCCTTCAATCTCTTCCTGATGTCATAGAAACCAGGATGAATCCTGCCAAGAACATGACCATGTTCCTTGAGTTGTCTCATCTCGTTGTCAAGGGAGTTTGAGGTGCTGCCCTTCACACCCTGGAAATAAGCCAGACAGGATGACAGTTTTGTTAATATGGTTACAAATATATGCATTCACAAAGAATGTAGTTTTGCTACACTGTTTCAACATTATGTTGGTTCCCCTCCTCTAAAACTCTGCACTTTTCACACTCCCACAAAGGTTTGTGTAGATTGAGGACTTCCCACTGTCCTTCTGATGGCTTTTGTTTGGGTAACTTTTGGCAACTCCTCTCATTTGATTTGTGATGGTTTCCAACTGAGGACATAGTGTCCTCTTATGTACAGTCAATTCTGTTGTTCATTGTCCTCAGTGTACACCATTACACCCAAATGTACTTCCCCCAGTAGCACGTATATGTTTAATTTGCAGGGACAATTTAAACGTAAAGTTGAAACTTTTTGGTTTGGTCAAATTGATAACTTCAAATAGATTGAAAATTCTTTATCAGTATTAATAGCACAAGATAAAAAAATAATTTCGTGTGTGAAATATTTTGAAATCTGATTTTATTTGATGGTTGAAAAAAAAAACTGAGTGGAATTGTATAGTGAGGTGCATGCCATTGAAATTTAACAAAAAGTGCATAATGTACATGTAGATAGAATGCATGAGCCTATCTTAGATCCCAAACTCAAGTGTCAAGTAAATATGTACACAGATAAACAGATATACAGATTGTAGGTGTGTGACTTATGTACATGTATGGAGCAAAACAAAAATCCCAAGTTCTATATATAAACCATGTCACGCGACTTGATGACGATGCTGTGTTTGTCCAGCGCCATCTTTACCAGATCCGCCCTATCAAAAGCCTCAACTGTTTGTGCTCTCTACGTCAAATTGGAAAGATTTGTATTCAAGTGATTTGGTTGAAATTCAAAGAAGGTAAGAAAAGAGTGTCAGTTATTTTGAATAAGGTTAAATGCTAGCTTAATAATGAAAGGTTTGCGGAAACACCATGTGCGAATAATTTCTCAACTAAGAGAATGGTTCTGAAAAGAACCAGAGGTATAAACTCGACGTTCCGGTCAGTATGCTCTGACCGTCTTCAGGAGAGTGCCTAAACTCTAAGAAAGTGAATACTTAAGAGTAATTTTGTGTAAATACTTCATATAAGTGTCCACGCTCAAAAAAATCGAATTTTTAAAAACTTTGTGGGATGAAAGGACTTAGGGAGCAAGTAACCAAAATAGACTTTTTAAACTTTTATTTAGCCCGTTGCCATGGTTACGGGCCATTATGTGTTTTGGACATTTTTCGGCAATTTTGAGGCTGCAAAACTTCATTTTTTGCGTTATTTTCAAAGGTCATCCAGCCAAACTGCAAAGTAATGTCACAAAAGTAACTATATCACGACAAAGTATCATCCTTACCCTAACAAGAAACAAATAAAAACACTTCTGAAAAATCTCCTTTATACTATTTTCAGACCCTATAATACAGCATGTTTTAAACTAGCAAAATTGCATTTTTTACCTCATTTTTATCCCTCCAAAATGGCACTTGCCAGGGCACTCAGAATAATTTCCCTTCGGCTATGGTTAGTTCAGACATTGGTCTTTTCATATCTGGTGAGAAAATTTTGGGTTATTGTATGGCCTTTATGCAGTAGCGCTCAGTGTTTTCCTTTGTTTTGAGTAATAACTTGTATAATTGGTATTGTTCATGAATCCTAGCACATTTTTACAAACAGAATCAGACTGTGTATCATTTTTAGACCATTGGATGAATAGTAGGTCGTGTACTTCCCCCCACACCTGGCTAGGCCCCGCCCACTCCCCCTGTGCCACCGAATTTTGAACTTGTATGTTGCATTACGAAACAAATGTAAATATGCAAGTGAACACTTTAGAAATAACAAAGAGTTCCTTTTCACAGCCTCCCCTTCCCCCACCCCGGGGGCATTGCTTGGGGTTGAGGGTGGGGTGTGACCACCCACCAATAACTTGGCATTGTCGGTACAATCATTGTCACATGGGCAAAACTCATGTGTTTGCAAGCCGCAATGAATAATGGCCATATCCATTGTCCTCTGATTGAAGTGCACTTATCATTCAAATGATGTCCAGTCCTCCCCTCCCAGCTAGGCCCCGCCCCTTCCCTTGCCACCAAATTCAGATTTTGATTTATGCATGTATTTGCCTAAATTAATATTTTAAATAGATGTCAATTTGCAAGTGAAGCTTTCATAATCTACACCAACAGGCGTACCCGTCTCACAGCCCAACCCCTGCCATCCCTCTTCCTACTCCAGTGCTCATTATGAGCAACTACCCCTCCCCTCCCAAAGAATTGTACAGAATATGTATTATTGTTGAGGTTACATATTGCCTTGCGGAAAGTCCACATATTTACATACACTGTGTAGGTTTTGCTATTTTTTTGTCAACGTGGGAGTGGTTTGGAATATCTGGAAAGCGCGGGGGGGGGGTGTAATATGGATACATGTACATGTACATGATACATGTACGTGGTACATGTATATAATGCTGAATTTTTTTTAACACAATTGCATTTATTTTTTATTTTCAATACAGAGAAGTGAAATGGCGATTACGAGAGCAAATAACTCATATTTGTATATTAAAATACATGTACTTCTATCACTCTAGTGGAAACTCAAAATGGCCTCTATATTGGTTGATTGAATTGAATGTGTAAATATGGTCAGATCAAGCACATATAAAGTCGAATATAGTACCGTTATGGGTGCTGCTATGCCCTCCAAAATCGTAATTTCGTAATAAGCATGACATTTTGAGTCTCTTCCAAACTGTCATCAGCAGTCAACATGGCCACACTTCTGTGGTGCATCCATTGTTACATGGCAAGCAATCTAAATGTATTGGTGCTTATAAATTACAGGGGTTTTTTTTATACAGGCAGGGAATGTTTTGTTGATGTGTTAATTAAAAAAACAAACCAACTTCCCCACTGAACCACAAGTGCTTACAGATTTTATCCCTTTCTGGCGGGTATTTGTGTGTTTTTTCTGAAAGGGAGGGGCACAGCACACTGTGATCCCATGTTGATTTGCATATACTTTGACCGATTTTCCTACAACCGATTTGGCAGGAAAATATTGGTTGACCATTACTCTATAATATGACATTCTTGGTTCTATTGCTGTTACCACTAGAGGTGTTTTTTATATATTTTTCCAAACTCTTGTCTAGATAACATTTTGGGCATAGTTTCTGTATTTCTGTGTAAACATTCATCCCAGTCAAGCAATTGTATGCATCCACTGTCACTGCCATAGGGACTTATAATTACTGATTTTATTGCAAAAATGTGTGGGTTTTCAACCCGAATTGGCAAAACTAAAGTAAATATACACAATTGTGGTGATGTTATTTAATGCTCTGCAATTGATTCATGTAATAACTATAAGAAACGTATACATCAAAACAAACAAAATGGTACAGATTGAGAGGTGAAAATTAATGCGCTTCTCGCACCAATGGTGGCCACGTTACATACTGAGCATGTATTGTTGTTAATTATATAGCCATGAATTTCAGTCATAGGATAATACTTCCGTGATAGGCTTTGAAAATGGAAGTATTTTTGACTTTAGTTTATGAGCACCGATGTCTTTACAACGGTTGCCATGGTAATAATAAGCACACTACAGAAGTGTATTTGGTGCCACAAAACTTCATGTTGATCAGGCAAATACAAATTTGGAGGACACTTCCACTAAAAAAATACTTCAGACCCTAACTACATGTATATAGCCAAGTCAAGTAAGAGTGAAATTCATGCAATCAAATTGATGCTGTGTTCTCTCGGAGCTTTCACTGGAGTGATCGTTGTTTTAAAGTACATGTATTTCAATATAAACAAATCAGAGTTAGTTGCTCTCTAAATCGACAGATCTTTTCCGTTTTGAAAATAATAAAATAAACGTCATTTTGTTCACCACACCTTTCACTGTAATTCCAAAGTAGCTTGCAATATAAACAAATGTGTACAGCGTACATTGCGTGTGTCCAGATCACCCTTCCCACCCCGCGACATACACACCCCTTCTCCCCCTCACTTTTCGGATATTTCAAGCTGCCCCGTGTTGTAAAAAAGCCACCTTGCATAATTCAGACTTTCCCCAAGGCCATATGCATGTAAGTAATCTCAACAAAATTGTACTTGTTGACTTGTTGGGGAGGGCGTGGTTATCTTTGAGCTTTGGGAGTGGGGGTGGCAGGGGAAGGGGGTATTGTGAGACGGCTGTTGGTGTAGATCATAAAAGGTTCACTTTCAAATTGATATCTAGTATATATTTACAATTTAATTTAGGCAAATACATGCAGAAATCAAAATCTGAATTTGGTGGCAAAGGAAGGAGCGGGGCCTAGCTGGGAGGGGAGGACTGGACATCATTTGAATAATGGTGCACTTCAATCAGAGGACAATGGATATGGCCATTATTATTCATTGCGGCTTGCAATCACATGAGATTTGCCCATGTGACAATGATTGTACTGACAATGCCAAGTTATTGGTGGGTGGTCACACCCCACCCTCAACCCCAAGCAATGCCCCCGGGGGTGGGGGAAGGGGAGGCTGTGAAAAGGAACTCTGTTATTTCTGAAGTGTTCACTTGCATATTATTTATTTACATTTGTTTCGTTATGCAACATACACGTTCAAAATTTGGTGGACAGGGGAGTGGGCGGGGCCTAGCCAGGTGTGGGGGGAAGTACACTACCTACTATTCATCCAAATGGTCTAAAAATGATAAACAGTCTGATTCTGTTTGTGAAAATGTGCTAGATTAATGAACAATACCAATTATACAAGTTTATTACCCAAAACAAAGGAAAACACTGAAAATACACTTTTTAAGGTTTTTGTGAAATTTACCATTTTCGGAGCGCTACTGCATAAAGGCCATACGATAACACAATTTTCTCACCAGACATGAAAAGACCAATGTCTGAACTAACCATAGCCGAAGGGAAATTATTCTGAGTGCCCTGGCAAGTGCCATTTTGGAGGGATAAAAAAGGGGTAAAAAATGCAATTTTGCTAGTTGTAAAAACATGCTGTATTATAGGGCCTAAAAATAATATAAAGGAGATTTTTCGGAAGTGTTTAATTTTTTTTCTTGTTAGGGTAAGGATGATACTTTGTCGTGATATAGTTACTTTTGTGACATTACTTTGCAGTTTGGCTTGATGACCTTTGAAAATAATGCAAAAAATGAATTTTTGCAGCCCTCAAAATTGCCGAAAAATGGCCAAAACACATAATGGCCCGTAACCATGGCAACGGGCAAAATATCGGATTAAAAAGTCTCTTTTAGTTACTTGCTCCCAAAGTCCTTTCATCTCACACAGTATAAAAAAATTCGATTTTTTGAGCGTGGACACTTATATGAAGTATTTACACGAACTGGCTCTTCAGTAGAAAAAGGCGAAATCAATGAAGTGTGAAGTTGCATCCTGTGATGCTAGCTTACCAGTACAAGTCACTTGACAGGAAATTCTCACACACACAAAATTGATGTCTTGTTCGAAAGTGGATAAAAATCAAATTTGGTTTTTTTAGGCCGTATGAAACTCACACAGACAGTGCAGTATTAAAGAAGTTACATTTCTGTATTACATGTATAACCATTTCATTTTCTTTTAAATACTCTTTGTATACAGATAAAATGGCTACAGCTCTAAAGAACATCAGCCCCCATCTTGAATGCGACATATGCGCAGACAAATATAAACAGCCCAAGGTGCTGGATTGCATGCACAGCTTCTGCCAGAAATGTCTGGAGATATACTACACTAGTAGCTATGCGGGTCAGCCTAAGATTCCTTGCCCTGTATGTCGACGGGAGACAGTACTTCCAGAGACACGCATTCAAGGCCTGAAAACAAATTTCCATTTGATGGGAATAGTTGACGAGGTCTCACTCCAAGAAAAGGTGGTTATTAGTTCAGTGAAAAAAACAACACAAGAAGAAGATGAGTCTAAATGCCAGAAACACAAGGGGAAAGTGAAATGGTTTTATTGTGAGACATGTGAAGAGTTAATCTGCCAAGACTGTACTGTAGTAGACCACCGTGAACCAAAACATCACTACATTGACTCTGGAGAGGCTTCTCTCAAATACAAACAGTCACTGCAAGATATGTTTCCAAATGTCACCACCGGCATCAAAATACTTCAAAAGGCTTTGGCCATTTCATCACAAGCTAAGCAGATGTTCACACAGAACGTCACAAAGACTGTGAAAGCTGTGAAAGACAAGGCGGATAAAATGAGAGCTGAGATAACAACTAAAGAAACAAAGATGATTGCAGAGATCAAACAACTCCAGCAGGATCGCAACAGAACATATGATGAGCATCAGTCAACACTGACAATGATGCTAAAGAGTAAACGACATTCCTTCAGTACAGCTCAGGATGTCATAAACACTGCATCTGACAGTGACTTTTTGTCCCTATACCCTATCATCAGCAAAGACATGAAATCACTCAAGAGTCAAAATTCTCCCCAGATTGATCCCAAGCTTTCATATCTGAGCTTCATCCCCAGTCAGAGGATTGGTGACATCAATCTGGGCAAGCTGGCAGTCAAAGGCAAGTGGGAGATGTGTCGTGAGTTTGGTAAAAGAGGAAGTGGTCCAGGACAGTTTGATGGGACTCAAGGTGTTACTGCTACTCAACCTGGTAAAATTGCTGTGGCAGACTGTTGGAACGACCGAGTGGTCATCTGCAGCAATGAGGGACAACACAAGGGAACCATTCCCCTACAACGTAAGTTTCTCTCATGTACATGTTCATCAACACAAACTTTCATAATTGTGTGGAAATTAAAAGTCAGTTTTCCATGTGCACATGCAGATCTGACAACTGAGAATAAAAACCAATAAAATACTGCAAAGAATTGATGTGCTGGCAGTGCTCCCAACAAATTTGATTTTGTTCTCCCAACAAAACTTTAAAAAAAATGTCTTTACATGTAGGCCTACACATGTATGTTTAAAAAAATCACACACTGACACACACACACAAAATCCACTTCAATTCAATTCAAGAAGACATTTATTCCATACTCCTTTAGAGAATACATCCATCAATAAAATAGAAATCTGGTAAATAACAAGATAACAAAATCAATAAATATGTGTCTGTGACAGCAAAGATTCTTTTCTAGAGGTTGGATGTAATTTATTTACTCCGAATGTACACCACAAAAAAAGGGTTGGTATTAGCTACAAAGAAAGGAATAAAGAAATAAAAACAATCATAAGTTAACATCAAAATTAAACGAAGAATTAACACTTTCCAATGATCAACGAAATAATATCTTGGTGAATCTAAAGTAATTTAAAAGATGGCTAATAATGCAAAAAGGAAAATACATGTACCTAATCCTCTAAAGAACAACATGATAAAGTTTCCTTAAATTCAAAGTTAAAATGTCAGTGTTCTTTCCTCTACTGTCCTAAAGCCTGTAAGAATAAACAATGCCTTTAACTTTAATCTCCTTAACACCTAGTGCCTCGCCCAGCCTCTCCAAGAATAAACAATCTCCTGTCCACTCACTATACCACACTGTAGTAAAAAGACTTATACATACATAATGAGCAGGAAACTGAAACCGCGTTCCCACTTGATTTGGAAAAAGGTGGATCAAGATCCGGCATTTTGGTGTGATCGTTATCTTACCGCAACGAAACCGCAAGTCGCGTTCCCACTTATGCTTGATCCACCTTTTCGTACGGAAATGTTGGGTCCGAAAGGTCACTGAGTTCGGAATTACGCGCGCTCTGTGGGAGTGCCATTGTTGCATGGTTGCATGCTAGGCCAGGATGGGTCAGTTTTCAAACAGCACTATCAGAATTCACAGACAAAAATTACGCGAATTCACCAACATAAATCACGGATCCGTAGAGGATCCGTGCGTGCATAAATTAAAAGGTGAAATCCAACAGAGCCGCTCACGTGTGACATCACGGCAGAAACCAATGCATCGATAAGGGATTCCCTGGTTCTGAAGCTTCTCATTGGTTAGAAACGGTCACATGATGTACTACGACATCATTTCCAATTTTCTATAATCAATACTTCAGATTTGTCACTTCCGTACGTACCGCGTTATCGGCACTATTCTCATCACATACTCGTAAGCTTTTCAATGATTCTGTGCCAAAGTGAAGTCTTTTGGTGAGTGCGGACTCAGAGTCATTTATGGATGGAAAAAATAAGTAAAATTTCAGGAATGAAAAAGGTTTAGTAATGGACGAACACGCAACAAAAATAAGGCCTATACATGTAGTGTAGTTTTAGGATACCACGTGCGCTTTTGCATGCGCAGTGCTAGCCCGTAGTTCAGCGGTTGTTTATTGTGCATGTTATAAACGCTGGAAATGTTCACATGAGCTACACGCCTGAAAACGTGTTTCTTCGTTCATGAGACCGCAACATTTTCGCGCCACTCGTGCACTGGGCGGATGTTAACAGGTCAAATTGCCGGATCAGATCCACCTTTTGCGTTCCCATCTGATCGTGATCCGGCAATTGCCGGATCTGATCCACCAATTGGGGGATCTGTATCCTGGTCCAGAGGTGGATCAGAAAAGGTGGATCTGATCCTGATCCACCTTATAACGGTTAGCGTTCCCACTACACACAATTGCCGGATCTGATCCACCAATTGGGGGATCTGATCCGGCAATTTGGCAAAAGGTGGATCAGATCCCCCAATTGGTGGATCAAGTGGGAACGGGGTCAAAGACTCCAGTCAGGCCTCCTGTGGAGTTAATCACTCAACCCGAAACTTGGAATTTGTGGCTGTCCCACCCAGGGCTGGCAATGGTGCAGTGACCACATATCAATTATCTGTCTAGTGTGGATACACAGTATAGCTACTCAGCACTAGCACCACAATATCGATATCATCGATACTAGTCTTTAAAGTGATACAACTAAAGCTAGGAATTGATAAACTAATGTATATACAATTACACAACGCTCAGTTTTCTGCCTAAAGAAAATAATCTAAGCATGGTCAAATGGTACTGAGAGTATGAGTTCCCACAGTAGTCTTATAACACTTCCACTAATAAAAGAATACGAAATAATCAGATGAAATGATAACTGCTCCTAACTTCTACTTTAACGAATTAAAGAAAAGAATCTCTGTACAAATATGAACCTGATCACTGTTTCTGGCAAGTAAATTCACTATAAATGCTGTTTCAAGATCCAAATGTCAAAATAGTAAGAGTACAAACATCACAAAATAACACAAAATCTCAACTTGAATTCAGGGGCCAAACAGTAAAGTAAATCAAAACCAATAATCCTAGATACATCTCAAGCTTTTCAGAAACCAATAAATGCACTTTCTCTCTAAAAAGACTCCAAGTAAGTACATGTATAACAAACTAAAATCAGTGCAGTAAACTAGAATATCAATGAATTCAATGAAACCAAGCAAGTCACTTCCAAGAAATGGAAACTTTGTAAGCAAGACTGGAAACTTTCAAAGAGATCCTCTTAGCAAAATATCTGAACCCTTAAGTTCCTTAAGTATCAAACTCAAATCAATGAACTGACTTACGTAAGAAACAATATACAATATACAAGTGTAAACTTACCACAAATCTTCAACAACAAGGATTCTTCTAGCCTCAGAACTTTGGTGAAACGAGCATGGAACAAGAGTGATAAAATGACTGTGTGTGGACTGCCTTGCATCAACTGAAGGAATGGCTAGATAAGCCACATGTCTCAGAAGTGGGTACCGCAGGAAGTGCTTTGTGGTCTACCTAATGAATTATTCATGATCCACACTTAAAGAGGAAACAGCTATTTCAGTTCTCAATGAAGCAAGTTAAAAGAATATGAAATTACACAATTAAGAAACTGATAAATCTAAAAATTAATGTGGCCTGACGTTGCGAACTTAGCAAGTTCTTCTTCAGAGGCTAAAACAGAAATGACAGAGGTACATACATTAACATGGGGGTGCACACAAACATGCAGGGATGAAAGAAGAAACACAAAAGGAGGATTAGGTGGGAAATGTGTGGAAAGATGCAGGGGAGGGTGGATGAGAGAACAAAGAAACAAAGGGAGATGGCAAACCACAAGGGGTCTGGTATGAACAGGGGAGGGACCAGAAAGGGGAAGGATCAAAGGTCACAGGGAGTGGGAACGGACAAAAGAGTGTGGGAGAGAAGGGGGATTATGGGGGGGGGGAACAGTATGGAGGTGGAAAGGGATGAAAGATGGGGAAAGATGGGGAAACACAAACAATGAAGACCAGGTGGATTATCTGTAACAGAAGACAATGGAGGAAGAAAAATATTAATCATTTCCAAGTTGGATGTTGAGACCATGTGGTTGAATAGTTCGAAGACGATTCATCCACACTTTCTCTCTGCTGAGGCGAACTGAGTCCTTGCGATGGCCAAGAGATTCAATGCCCTGCAAAATCATATCAGAAATGGAGTGGTTAGGCAGGTTGAAGTGATGACCAACAGGGGTGTCTAGTTTCTTGGTGTTGACCGTTGACCGGTGGGCATAGAAACGCTTCTTGAGCGTATTCTTAGTCTCACCTACATACTGCACTCCACAGACCCTGCAAGAAATAAGATATATGACATTAGGGGTGTTACAAGTGATGTTACCAATGGTTCTGTGGGTAGTGACAGAAGAGTGGCCAGAAAAGGAGTCAGACTCCTGGATATGAATCTGGCAGACAACACATCTGGAACTGCACTTGAAAGTACCATGCTGGGTGGGAGGGGATGCATCTAAGGATGGGACTTCAGCTCGAACAATCAAGTCCCGTAGATTTTGAGGACGCCTGTAAGCCAATGTGGGGCCGTTGGGGATGGCGCGGGCAAGGCGATCTGAAGTATGGAGGATATGATGATTGTCATTAGTGATTTTGCGAAGGGGAGGGAGATTGGGGTGAAACGTGGTAACCAAGGGAATCATGGGTTTGGCCATGGCATCAGGGGCCTTTCCCGTGAGAGCTAGATTTCTGGGGATAGCTTTAGCTCTGGCAATGGCACGATGAACTTGGCGAGAGCTGTGACCCCTGGCCACCAAGTTGTTCCTCAGTATCTGTGTATGGCGGGAGAAATCGGAATCATTAGAACAGATTCTTCTGAGTCTGAGTGCCTGGCTAAACGCTATGCCAGTTTTGCAGTGCCTGGGGTGACAGCTGGAGGAGTGGAGGTACTGGTGGGTGTCTGTGGGTTTGGAATACAGGTCAGTGGTTAGTGAGTTGCCTTGCTTGCGGACGGTGACATCCAGAAAGTGGGTTTGGTGAGCCGAGAACTCCGATGTGAATTTGATGGTTCTGTGGAAGGAATTGATGTGGTTAGTGAAGGTCAAGAGACTGTCCTCATCGCTGGTCCAGATGAAAAAAACATCATCAATATATCTCCACCAGATTAAAGGGCGACATGGGGCCGAGGCAAGAATGCATTCTTCGAGGTCACCCATGAAGAGGCAAGCCATGGATGGGGCCATGCGAGTGCCCATTGCAGTGCCGTGTACCTGTAGATAGTGTTCACCAAGGAATGAAAAATTGTTTTTCGTTAGTATAAGTCTCATGAGGGTGCCAACATCACTGATGGGAGGAGTCGTGTGTCCTGCCTTGGCCAGAGCCAAGGAGCAAGCACGAACACCCTCCTCATGGGGGATGTTGGTGTACAGAGATGAGACGTCGAAAGTCCCAATGATGGCCGTGCTGGGAATCTGGTCCTTGATTCCTTCAAGCTTGCGTAGGAAGTCTGGGGTGTCGTGAATGTATGACGAAATCTGTGGGACAAGGGGTTTGAGAAAACTGTCAATGAACAGGGAGATGCGTTCCGTGGGTGAGCCATTACCGGAGATGATGGGTCTACCG